GATATATATACATATATATATGTATATATAATATTTTAAAAAAGCAATTCAAAATAAATATTTATAAATATTTATTTTGAATTGCTTTTTTAAAATATTATATATACATATATATATGTATATATAATATTTTAAAAAAGCAATTCAAAATAAATATTTATAAATATTTATTTTGAATTGCTTTTTTAAAATATTATATATACATATATATATGTATATATAATATTTTAAAAAAGCAATTCAAAATAAATATTTATAAATATTTATTTTGAATTGCTTTTTTAAAATATTATATATACATATATATATGTATATATAATATTTTAAAAAAGCAATTCAAAATAAATATTTATAAATATTTATCTAATAACTTACTAATATTGTATGCTGTCTGGGTTAATACTTTTAATCTTAACAGTATTTTGCGTAAGTATTTTATCTTAGCAAAGTATTATATATTAGTATTTAAATATTGACAATGTTCTGAGTAAGTATTTTATCACTGGACGAAGTATTGCATATCAATATTTAAGTATTGAAATCAATCATAAGGTAGGATTTGTAACATTAAATATTGAAATACTTGAGTACTAAAAGCTGTATTTGAATCACAGAATATTACTAAATACTGTACTTTTAATACTGAAAATAAGTAATTAATCAATGATTCTTAGTATGATATTTCTATAAGGGTTATGGCTGGAACGACGCGAGACGTTACAATGTGGTCGCAATTGCGATTGCGGCAATTAGACTTGTTTTTCTATATGATGTCCTCAGAGATAAAGAGCCGATTGTTACAAATTGCGGCGGGATTTGTGTCCTCGCACTTTAAACATATGCACCGCGGTGCTCTCTTGCAACTATCGGCGTTGTTACAGTGCGAAAATAAGTGGTGAGTTCATGAGCGTAATTTATGTATTAAGTGCGCACAGTCCATTTGTATGTCGTTACATGTCCGAATATTATTTTACTTTTAAACACGTATGAATAAACGCGAAACGAATATGTCATGGTCGCGTATGTGTATCAATTGTTTCACTTGTTTCTTTCTTCAATCTTTCAACTTCATGTTTCCTAATTTTATGTTCTGTAATGTGCTGTGCGTACAAGTTCTTATATGTCTTGCTGGGTGTAAAAGTTTTATCCGCAGATAATAAGCGATACGCGAGTACGTGGTGTGATCCTTATTGTGCGCCCATCAGTTAGTTTTCTTCAACATTCCCATTATTCTCTTCGGCGACTTCAAGATCAATAACAAGTGGTGATCATTATCTCTTCTCTTCATTCAACCTAATCGGTGCGATACCAGAAGTTTCATCGGCCACCATCTCTTTGACGACGTTGTTCGCACGGTCCTGATCATCGGTTCCTCTTTCACCACGACGTCCTCATTGTGACTCAGATCGGTGCACTCCTCGTCCGAGTATGCACTCTTGACGGACTCATCGTCGTTCTCGACTTTTCTGACGTTATCTGTGCTGTTCTAGCCATTGTTAATACATGATCACCGTGAAATGATCCCTAGGTTACCAATGACAGTCAAACTGTGTCCAGCTCATCTCGAATCGCTCATTACCCCAAAACCACCCAAAATATCTGGCGGGAATTCTTTCAACTGAAGAATTACATTAATAAGAATTCAACTAAAAAATAACGTCTTTATTAACTGCAATTATGTAATTTCTTGACAAAACAATAATCATAACAAAAGGTAAGTTGACAATAGGCGCATCTGAAAGAAGACACCTGGTCACAATCGCGATTTGAACAAACCATGGCATAACCAATCTTCAGGCAATACTTCTCCGGCGTCTGGTCATATCATCCCAGCAATTGGTTTTGAACTTCGGAATGACAAAAGAATTCTGAAGCAGATGCTTGAAGCGGGGTGCCTGGAACTGCAGGTGAGCAAGAGCCTGAAGAAGAAAGCACTTCTGTCGCCATCAAATCTTGCTGTCCATTTCAACAGAATTCGTAATATGGCAAACGAACGCTTTGTATTAGTGGAAGTAGCCCACATAGTTGGATGAGACCAGTCGTGCCAGGTGGGATGATCATCCTCGTCACGACGATCTGGTTGTTGAACTTTCGTGCGACTTCCTCGAAGAAATCCTGGTCCTTGTTCGAGGACCAACTGTCAGCGAGGAAGAGGCACTTCTTTAAGCCAGTGGCAATCACTCCCGGGAAGAACACTTCTTCCAGAAATATCCGCAAGTCCTGTATGGTCATCATCGTCGAGTGACCGCATTTATATGGATATTGTCAGAAACTTCGGAATTTGATTGCAAGAATCTTTCATTAATCTTCTGAATCTTAGAAGGTACAGTTTCGGAATGATTGTTCCGGCCATGGAGATGATGGGCATGACGCAATAACTATGGGTCATAGCACTGATACTTCCTGTGACGGCCTTCACTCCTTGCTCACCTTTAAATGTTCGTACAATGACCGAGTATCAGCTTATCGAAGCGATTCTGGTCCACGTTCAATACCTTTTCATCTTTGAAGTCCTTCTCGGCAATGATCGCCCTGATCTTTTCGACAAATGTGTCCACTTCAGTTTGGAACTTTGATTCTTTGCGCAAAAAATCGGATCCAACTATTTTGATGATTTTCTGGGACACAATGTCACACCGACGCTTGAACTTCGTGAGCCACGAGGTGTTTGCTCGGAAGCACATTCCCAGAAAATGCTCCAAAATCATTTCCAATGCCCATCGTCAAATAGTCCAGTCACAGACTCGCTCGGAGTTCTGCCTGGCCTCTTTAAATTTGTCCAATACCAAGGAATTCAATGCGCGGTAAGTGGCCAGTGCACATCTCTTTCCACCACTTCTTCAGATGTTCGATATTGTGACCGACGAACTTAGGGTACCGACAGTGCATTGTCTCCATTTTCAGCTTCTTACATGAGGCGAAGAATTCGTCGCTAATTTCCAGCGTCTTACTCTTGTCGCGCTGGTATGTGTAGTAGCGGAAGGCTGCTTCCCACGTCTCAAGCAGAGTTTCTTCCCAATAACGTCACTGGACTTTGGGTTCCCTCGCTGGATCATAATCGTCATCATCATTCTTATCACTCGGCATTTCTTCGTCGCTCGTCATCTCTTCATCATCCTGCTGGACGTCACACGACAGACCGTCGGCTTCTCCTTTTCCTTCATCTATAGATTCAACCTCCTTCTAGTACTGTTCGAAAGAGACCATTGTGGAGTCAGCATTGTTGTCTTCAGCAGCTTTGACATCGAGTGACTCCTCTTCATCCGCATGCAAATCCTGGTGAAGGAGTTGCTACGAGAGTTGTTCAGCCATCAAAACTTCCCATTTATTGAAGGCAGTCTAATCGTTGTTCAGATAATGACTGAACTTTTCATGAGCAACATGAACTTCGCACATGAGGGCGAGAG